AGCTTTACTTAGCTAGTTTCCCTTTCGGCCTGCGTGCCATGATGATGTATTGACATTGTTTTAAGGATTTTTAGATAGTATAGCCTGTGCATCTGAGTTCTCCAGCTCAGATGTGGCATAACACCCCAAACTCTTATGTTTAGTATGCTCTGTTTTGGGATTTAATGATAGTACTACCTTTATTTAATAGTATTCAAAGTTATAAATTTTAGGGGTGTTACCTAAGGACAATGTTAAATCGGAATAGGATCAAAGGAATTAAACTTGCAACTTAGGGAATAAGGTTGCCACCTTGCACGGAGTCAATTGAAAGAAGGTATCAAGAACGAAGTTTGAAGTGGTAGAAGGGATTTCTCAATGAAACGGTATTTGATTTGACAAAGAAAGGAAGGGAATTCGGCTGGTTGCATGTTCAAACTTAAAAATCCTTACACCCAAATAACACATTTGACTCTACCCCCATATATATAACCTTTGTACTAGTTGTCATGTCCATAGGGAAAATATCATCAATACCATATATACCGGATTTACACCTAACTATTTTACTAGCAGAATATACCAATAATAAGGCTATGAACATGCAATTCACATTATGTTAATTTATGAATGAATAATAACACAACATGGAAATCTTACCCACGTCATATTCATTATTCAAATGTTTTATAATGATTTAATCATGTAGGATCATAAACTGTACCGAACATGTGGTTAAATATAATTATTCATATTCCTTAATAAGGGACTAATACCATACATGTGCAAATTCGAATAGCCTTACAATCATTATAAAACATATATACACATATATCAACACAGGCGAGCCATATTGACGATCGGATATAAACATTTAATGTACAATTTAGCATGTCCTGAGCCAAATACCATATATGCAGGACTCAACTATGAAGCAAGGAAGGCTTTGACGGTAAGCAAGCCGAGGACGCTCAATGAAGCTTATTTGAGTGCGGCAGATTTGTACCGAGTGCAACAGCTACAAAGAGGGTCTAATGACTTGGCTAGGAAAAGAAGTGAAGGTAATGGGCCACAAGGTTTCAAGAGGCCGAGGCAAGATTTTAGGGCAAGACCAGCTTCTTCTCATATTCAGGGATCGGCTCGGGCCGATAATGGGGAGAAATGGAAACCCTTCGGATGTAGGAGATGTGGAAAGGAACACATCGGGAAGGATGGTCAAGGTAACCTGCTCTATTTCTTCAAGTGTGGAAGGAGAAGCCACAAAGCTTATGAGTGTCACCTCCAGTCCGACCAGGGAGTTCTACCGTCTAGCACCATACTCGGGGGACCACCAGGAGGGAGTTCCAGCCGTGGCTCGGGAGGGACGAAGCCTTCGGGCAGGGTGTTCATGATGAGCCGGTCGCAGGTTGAGGCTGAGGGCATATTGGAGGAGGAGGCCGCAGGTCCGACCAAGGAGCTCTACCGTCTAGCACCAGACCCGGGCGACCACCAGGAAGGAGTTCCAGCCGTGGCTCGGGAGGGACGAAGCCTTCGGGCAGGGTGTTCGTGATGAGCCGGTCGCAGGTTGAGGCTAAGGGCATATTAGAGGAAGAGACCGCAGGTATCGTTCTTGTGCCTACCTCTTTATCCTTGAGTTGTACCCTTATAGTTTCCGGGGTTTTAAAATATTTATAATTAGGACCTCACCTTTTTGTATTACCTAAAGCCTATTCCTTCACCTTAAAGCTTAGAATGGATTAATTTTTAGGAACCCCTTAAAAGTTATGGAAAAGTTTAAGCTTTTAGTTCATAACTAATGAGATTCAAACCCAGGCCTCAAAGTTTCCAAGCTATCCCTTAAACCATCTAAATTAATTATGTTCCTTAAACTTTCTTTCACTTAAATCCCTTTTGAACTTTTTCCTCTAAACCTAACTAAAAAATCCCCAAATTAAAATCTTCTTTTCCCCAATTTCTCCCAAACCCTCCCATTTCTTTTTCCCCACATGTGCGCAGCAGCCGAGAGAACCCCCTGCCCGTGGCTGTTCACCGCCCGTCGACCTCCTCCACCCGTCGCCGCCGTCCATCGCCGTTCGTCGAGAGCCACCGCCGCCACCGTCAGCCGACCAGAATCGCAAGGAAGGCCGAGGAAGAAGAGAAAAAGGAAGGAAAAATATAGGAAAAGATGAAAAGGAAAAGTTGGGTTTTTTCTACCATGCTAGAAGGTCAAAAACCGCAAGGAGAGTAGAATGGGTGGATGCCCATTATTCGGTTCTTGAAGGTAAAGCTTTTGAACCTGAATCTTTTTCAAGTTCATTGTTGGATTTGTTGAATTATCAAGGATTGTTAGATGGGTATCTTGCCGTCAGAAACGGGACCTACCCGAGTCTAGTAAAAGAGTTCTGTCGTCACATGAGTGTGACTAAGGATGGAGGGAAATTGGAATTCACCTCAAAAGTGGGAGGTGTAAAGATTTCTTTGATTGAGAAACAGTTAGCTCAGCTCTTGAGTTTGACGACCACCGGGGTCTCACAGTACAGTGGTGATTCTTGGATTGAGATGAGTAATATGGGTTATCAATATTATTTGAGTTTCTTGTTAGGTAGAACAGGTGGTTTTACCCAGGCCACGAGGCCAGAAAGGAAATGGCTCTCCGCAGAGCAGAAGATTTTGGTGATGCTTGTCTCAGATTGCTTATTACCTAACAATAACAAGAGTAGCCTGTTGGGAAAGTTGGAGTGCACTTTTGCCATTTGTCAAAAGCACAAAGTAAAGTTCAATTTTCCCTCCCTGTTGTTGCAGCACATGGATTATTGTAGAGACCATAACTGTAAAAACCTGCCCTATGGTATGATTCTGAGTTGGATTTTCTTGAAGAAAGCGGTGAAAGTGGATGGTTATGTGCCCAAGCCTGTTGGCAAGATGGTATTCGATGCCGTGAATCTCCGGAATTGTAATATGTTCCAGTTGGAGAATAATGACTACATCACCCTGGAGAAAGTGGCAAAGAAATCCCCTGCCGAGAGGAGCTCTTTGATTGAACAGCTTGAGATTCCCGTTAAGAAGTTGAGTCAGGTAGTGCAAAGTTTAGGAGGAGATGAAGAAGAAGAAGAGGAAGGGGAAGAAGCGGAAGAAAGCGAACCCGAGAGTGAAGAGAGCTTGAGAAGAAAAGAGGTGAGGACGAAGAACGAGCACGATGCCATGACCCACGAGGAGCGTGTTGTGGCCCTTCTGCGGCAGCAAAACCAAATGATCGAAGAAGGATTTTGTGACAACCCAAAATTTTATTTTATAAATTTGGCTTTAAGAAATTCCAAAATAGCCATTTTTCACTCTATCAAAATTTTTGCGATGAAATCGGTGTTTGAATAAATTATTTTGAACCACTTTTAAATGAATTCAACACCGGGACTTATTTTAATTCAAAAATCCTAAATTTTTGGGTACATTGCGTACCAAGTTTTCGATCCAAAAGTCAATCTGAGTGAAACCGGAAGAAACCTGAGAAACATAAACTAAGTGATTGTCTAGAAGGTATGTTTGGGAAAATATATTTTGACCCCCAAACTATTTAAAAATCGCATTTCTAGATCTTGGTCCATGATTCTTGGTGGACCCCAAGCCTTTGCCTTTACCTGATGCATTTTAAAGAGCCAACAATTTACCCTTTTGCCCTCAACCAATCATTGGGTTGCAACCTAGGGTTTTGAACCTATATAAATAGATACTATTCTATTGCCTTCTTCTACTGATTTCTCCATTGTGCCTCTTCACTTCAAAGCTTTAGAGATCAGATTGGTAGAGGGGAGAAATCACAGTAAGTATTCCACCTTCATCCTCAACCATTCATTTCATTCATCCTTCCCTTAAGGTTTCATCTTCCTTTGCTTAAATCTCTGAAGTTCTATCTCTACGCTTGGTTTGTATGGTTGTATGAGGAGTCTAGGAAGTGTCATATGAGGAAGGAAAGGGAACCACACAAAGAAGAGGAAGAAGAAGCTGAGGTATAACCCCATGGACTCCCATCTTAAGTTTTGGCTCTGTGAAGCCATTGTTTTATAGGTAGAAATGAGTAGAAATGCTAGATTTTTGAAGTGTTTGAACTATTAAGTGATCTATTACTTGTCTATGGTGTGCTGTTGATGTTTTGGGTGTGCTAGAATTGCCTGAAAATGTTTTGCAGATGAGAAGAAATCATCTGGTGCACAAGCAGTGTGCACCAGTAGATTCACCGACCCCAGCCAACAGCCCAACAAGGGGACTGTTGGCTAGAGCCGTGGCTAAAGATAAACCACGAGATTGCATAATGAGAATGTTTGCACGTGATTGCATTTGAGTATAGTATTGCACGAGATTGCATAATGAGAATGTTTGCACTAGATTGCATATTGAGAATGATTAGCCGAGATTGTATATTGAGTACATGATGCATATTGATTACCTTAGATGCATATTGATGTATATCTAGTTTACATGATGAGAACTTGAAAGCATGAGAATAATTTCTTATTGTTTGATAGCACGAAATTGCTTGTTAAGTTATGTGTTAGCATGAGATTGTTATTGATATGTTATACAGGATTGAGATTTGCTATGTTATGTATGCGATAGTATGAGCATGTTGTTAGGTTTGATATCGTTGAAGTATGCCTATTTAATATTTTAGGTTGTGAGTATATAGAAAGCTTTGTAGTTTATATTAAGGTTTTGTCTAAGTGATTGAGAATGTGAATCAAATGTTTTTCCAAAGTATATACTGTAGTATTTTACAGGGTTGAGTGTGGTTATACTTAGCTTCATGCTAACGAGTGTTTTCTACTTGTCTATTTGCAAAACCCCTTTTAGGTGGGCCCAGCGTTTGAGAGTTGTTCAAGTTAGACTAGGTTAGTAGATCTAATAGTCTAAACTCTTGTTTTACCTTATGATGTTATGGATGATGGTAGTAGACTTATGTTGTTTATGTTTGGTGATAGACACCGGGGTGTTTTTCCCCAAGTTACTTTAATGAAGTAAATTTCGGATGTTAGTTTGTCTTGATGTTT